CAGCCCTAAGGATGAATTTTCTTAAAACATTAATAGCCTCTTCTCAAAATACATGGCTCTTTGAACTTGCAAAATGTAATGTTTTCATTTTAGATACAGAATCATGTATGCCTTGCAACTGAGCCATAAACTCATTCTGAGAGTTTTCTTACAAGAAGGACAATGTACTCTTCATTTACGAGCAGTGATGCATGGTAGGCCTTGGAATTCCAGTAATGCTTATAACAAAATGAAGAAAATTGGACTAAATTCCCTATTAAAGCCTGGTGCCCATTAAATAAACCAAGCTTAATAGTTTTCTGATCAGACTGGTCATCCACCCAAGTGCTAAGTCTCAGGAGGATGACATGGAACAAAATAGTGTTTGCATAATTCAATAAAACTAAGGGGAGCTGGTCTGTATTTTTAATACTGTGAGCTCTTTGTCTCCTCACCCCTTGAAAGGTAGAATGGTGTGTATCCAAAAAGCCAGGACGAGAGCAGAGCAGACGTGTTCGGCTTCCTTAAGCAGAGGGAGCACACACACGTGAAGGGAGGCTGAAATCCTCAGCACGTGGATTGCAGACTCAACTGCCTTGGGCCCTGAGAGGTTCGGCGTTCAGGCCTTCTGCTGGTGCTAAGGGACCCAGCTCCTTATTCTGAAGCTGCTGCTTCCTGTTGGCACCCCAAGAGTCCTTCAGAATCTCCCCAAATTCTTCTCATCCTATTTAGATACGAACTAAACCCATTTGGGGATTCTGTCAGTTCATTTTGTTTTCTTTTGGATTATTTGGGGTGGGGGTGGGGTGGGGATTAAGCTTTGGGCCTTGATGGCTCTATGCATGCGCTATGCCCCTGAACCCTAGCCCCTAAAAACTAGTTTTTCAATCCTGAATGAAAAGTGGAGATGAAGGCCTTGACTTAACAATGGGAAGTGGGTACAACACAAACCCGATACTAAATTTGTGTGTATTTTACATAAGTATAAAATGAAAGCAGAATATTGGTTAAATTGTGTTAGAAACTAGTAAAGTTTAATCCAGTGACATTAATGTGGTGAAGATATACAGGTGAGACCACATGACACTCACAGTGTGATTGGTGTGGTGTCAATCTGAGTTTGGTGTTCTGGCTGTCCTGTACTCTGGAGGATGCTTAGGCGTACTTCATAGTATGAGTTCTATCTCTGTTCAAGATGCCATTGTATGATTCAAGCTGCAGACTGTCTCTGACTTACAAAGGCCTGAATTAGGATTGTAGGAACGTGTCTTATATTTTGAATGCTTACTTGTGTGAGCGCCCTCATTTGCTAGGTAACAGCAGTGGACCACAGCTCTCAGCCAGCCATGCAGCCAGCCCTGCAGTCCTGAATGTAAACAGTTGGCGCTACAAAGCACTCAGTGGTTGCCAGGATATGGTGTTTTGCCATGGTCTCCGAACCCCCCTGTCTCGGGCAGAGGAACGAGAGGCCACAGCGATGGGGGTCGAGGAGGGGGAAGTGCGCTGCCCACCCGTTTCTCCAGCCCTTCTCTCTGAGGACAATCAGACATGGCAGGGAGTCACTTTAAGCAGGAAAACTCGTTTATTGGCAAGGCTGATCAATATTTAAGGGCAAAAGTCACAAGCATTAGCATAGGCGGGAAAGCCATCATCCAATCAGCTTAGAGGTCACATATGCCACGCAGGCTCTTCTCATAGTATAACATATTGTTCACAAGGTGATCACACGTCCTTTACTGGCTAGGCTCCAATCAGCATTACTTCCTCTCTTTGTGGCACGCCAAGCTGGCCAGCTGGCTCCACCTTCACCTCAGCTGCTTGGCGCCATCTTGTTGCCACACCTCCACATGGGACTACATCCTTAGCCCTCTCAAAGTAAAAAAATATTTTTTGAGGCGAAGTCTCACTAAGCTGTACAGACTAGCCTTGAAGTCACTCTGTATCCCAGGCTAGCCTTGAACCTGGGAACCTCCTGCCTCACCTGCTGTCTTTATAAAAATGGCCAGAGATGAAAGAGAAAAACGCCTTCTCACAATGACTGTCTATCACCAATGTTAAAAGTTGTCTGACCTGTAACTGGAATTTCAGATATCCAGTTAAATACATCTAAAATAGGCTCACTGAGCACTCTGGATGCAAGGGACTGCCCAGGGTTTTGGGATGGTAACCATAGAACACAGTTCTGAATTTTAACTGCTTACTGGTTCATTTAGAGGTGGGGAGGGGGGGAGAGCTGGAGAGATAGCTCAGTGGTTAAGATCACATACTTACAGACCCAGGTTCACTTCTCATCACCCACATATATACTCTTAGCATGGTAATAACTGCTTAGCAAATGTATGCAGGTGTGGAGGAGCCCGCTGTGAGTTGGGGGGAACCTCACTGTCTGTTGCCACCTTATCTGTCTAGAAGCAAAGCATGCACTTCTCTGTAGATGCCTTAGGTGTCTAAGTGCTCTCCTTGTCTTCTTCCTCCCATGCACCATCTATACTGGAAATGTAAATTATATATCTCCAAACTGCTCTTCAAAATTTTGACCAGTTCCTCATTTTGAAAAAGATGGATGATTAAGTTGAAAATTGATTTTTGTATAGGTGCTTTACTGCAACAGCTGCTTACTCTGGGTGGTTGTTGGGATGAGCATTTGCACGTAGCCTGCTTCCCTTTGCTACAAGACCCATGTCCCAGTCTCAGCACCAGTGTCTCCACTGCCTGGGATTTTATTCAGTGTAATCTTATAATTACCAAACTTCTTTTTAAACCTTCTCATCTTGGAAGATTGTAAGTTCATTTTCAAAGTTATTTAAAATTTCCAGCTTAATTTATTAATTTTTTCTTCTTCTGAGAAAGATGTCTGAAAGTTGCAGAAGATGAGGTGGTTTCTCCTCTAGCTCTTGATTGGGCTGATTTCTATCAGCCATGATCCTCAGATACAGTGTGGGTGGGTAGATGTCACAATTTAGGGTGCTCAGGCATCTTTGAAGAGGTTCTTAGTGAGATTTTATTGTTTTGTGTAGAGGTGGGGTTGTGAGCAACACAGTTCACACATATGGGGGACAGGGCAGATTGTGAGAGGTGGTTCTCTTGTTACACTGTGTGGCTTCAAGGACTCGAACTCAGGCCATCAGCCTTTCACAATTACTAAGTCATCTTGCCAGCCGCAAGATTTATTTTTGAACTAAGTTCAGAATTTTATTTAACTGTTATTTGAAGTATTTAAAATGCATATTTGTGATCAGCTTTAAGAGACCTGATTATTGGATAATAAATGACTTATTATTTTTAAGAGTGTACTGCTTGCATGTAGGTAGGTGCACCTGTGCTGTATAATCCCTGTGCAGGTCAGAAGAGGGTGTTGGATCCCCTACAACTAGAGGTACAGACAGTTGTTAGCTGCAGTGTGGGTGCTGGGAATCAAACCCAGGTCCTCTGCAAGAGCAGTCAAGCCCCTGACTTGAGTTAATTTTTAATAATTCCTATCATTTTTAAATGGCTTTCTCCTCTTTGGAACAAGTCAAGTCTCTAATATAATTATCCCTGCCTTAAAGGTTTGTTTTCTTTTTCCTTGACCACCCATCTATGTGACTTTATTGTGAACAATAGCGCTAGTGAGGCTGACATTTGAAATACTTACTGTGCACCAAGTACTCTGTGATTGTATTCTTTGGATTTTGTATATGAGGTGATTATCAGTATTTTCCCATTTTATAATTTAGAAGGTGACATTAGGAAAGGTTAATTCTCAAAGTCACATATTTGAGCAAATAGAGATGAACATTTCTTCTGCGCTTTGGTTAAATCGTGTTCCCCATCCCAAGGCTCTCCACTTCTTCCACAGCAACTAGGGACCTCAGGGCCCTAGAAGCAGAGTGGTCTGTGCCCATCACCATTGCATGTAACACTCAGGAAAAGCAGTAGGCAGGAAAGCATGGCCAACATCTCAGCCATGAGTTAAAATGGAAAAACCATTTGCACGATGCTGCTTGTGCTCACAAACAGTAAATCAAGTGCAGAATGGCTGGTGTCCTTGAGGGTAAAACTTCACCCTCCCCAAAAGGTAAGATGGATGATAAATCTCTACATGAAGTAGGTCATCATGGATTACAGGATGGACAAGATGCCCTAGTGAGCTTTTTGATTAGCTCTTTATGCTATTCAGTTTTAATTCCTGCACTCCATAACCAGTACCTACTGTGTGCCTATTCTGGGGTTACAGCAGCACAAAACAGAGCCCTGAGTCCCAAGTCTCTGCTCTGGATGCTTGTTTTGTAGGACTCGCAAGGTGCCTTTTGTGTTGAAGTACCTCCGTACTTTACAGAAACTTGTAGATCACTAGTGCTTCATGGTTTCCATGTTAAAGGCAGTCACCCATTCATGAAGTCTGCTTTGTGACCTGAGCAACCACAGTAGAACTTGCCTTAGCAGGACCTGAAGCTGTGTCCTGCTCTTGGCAAACCGAAGTGTGGAGTTTGGATTTCTAGTCTGTTGCAAGTTGTGGATGGAGATTAAACGGCTCAGATGAAGCTGTCAGTGTAATTGAAAGTTTGGGGAATTCCTCTAAGTAGTCATAAAAGACAATTACTCTCAGGAATACTAAAGTCAAAGAAGTGGTTTTCTGTTGGATAAAGAGCAGTTCACCTAAACTTACTAGCAGGAGAGATTTTCTACTCTCTGATTGCTGGTGATTCCTTTAAAATTTGTCCAGACTTTGAATGTACCAGTGTGGTAGATGCTTACCACGGTCTGCTTAAGGTTGTCCAGACTTTGACTCCTTGATTCTACAGTCATAAATAAGAGATTTAAAATTTTAAATTAACATTATTGTGGGATGATTTTTAAGCTTTATTTTATCTCTATGATATGTTTGACCCACAATGTGCTTTGAAGGGCATATTTGAAAGTATACAATTCAGTGAACTGATACCTTATGAAGAGACACTTGTACTGATTGTATGACATATTTCCTTCCTGATTTGTAAAGATAATTCTGGAAAAAAAATGTATTTCTTGTCCACATCCAGGCAAACTCTTCCACATAGATTTTGGGTATATTTTGGGCCGAGATCCGAAGCCTCTTCCTCCTCCAATGAAGCTGAATAAGGAGATGGTGGAAGGAATGGGGGGCACACAGAGTGAGCAGTACCAGGAGTTCCGAAAACAGTGCTACACAGCGTTTCTCCACCTGCGGAGGTGAGGCAATGGGGTTAGCCCAGACCAGAGCTGCTCCAAACATGCCTTCGTGGGCATTCCTTTCAGAGGGACTCAATGGCATCCTTAATGTGTACTTCCTAGCCATTCTGGTAAAAACCCTAGTATCACAGGAATAAACCCCCATCCCACACATACAGTGCGTCTTGTTTTCCACTACTGACCACATTTCTAACCTTCCAGTCAGGACCTGGTATTCTGCCAGAGTAGGCTGAGGGGAGGCTCCAGGTCGGAGATGGTGCACAGACTACAAGCTCCGCACACCTGGGTCTCCCTGGAGGCGTTGTGAGCTTTGCTGCCACTGCCGAAGAAGAATTGAGGCTGTCTGCTCCCTGTCTGTCCTTCCTGCACCTCCTTTCCCTTCCGTCTGCCCTTCCTGCACCTCCTTCCACTGCCTGCCGTTCTAGCACTCCTCAGCCTCAGTTTTGGATGCTCTTTGGGAACATTCAGAACTTTCTTCAGATAATACTGCATGTGAATTTTTTTGTCTCTTTTTAATGCCTCCGGACTCACTTTCTCTGCCCTCCATTCAGTGTCCCTTTATCTTACCTCATTCATCATGATTTGATTTTAAGACTGGATCTTGTATGTTGTCAGAAAAAAATAAGTAAAGTGTATTTAACATGACCAGAGCTCTGATGATCTGTCAGAAGTGACAGGATTAATTCTACCTAACTGTGCACAATGAATTTTCTTTGTGCCATAGAAAATCCTAGTCAGAGGCATGCCTCTGTTCCCTCCATGGGAGAGTGGTGGGGCAGACAGGTCCATGCCTCTTAACCTCACCGAAAGTATGTGGTCAGCAGACAATCTGCCTCTGTGCCCTGTGCATGCCTACATTTCCTCCAAGGGTGTGGCCTGTTGTTGGGGTCTGTGCCTGTAACATCAACTTCTCATGTAGTTCTTGGAACTATAGATGCTGGGTATATATTCCTGTTGTTTGAGGGAGGGAGTGCTGAGAACAGACATTGCTACCTTGGGAAGTTGCATTTAGTTCTTCGTTATTAAGAATGATGTTAGTTGTAGGTTTTTGATAGATGTTTGAATCTTGCATGTCCCACAAAGGGCCGTGTTGTTAAGGCTTTGTCCGTAAGGCTCTGTAGACCAGGACAGAGAGGTCCTTAAGTCTTGGTGGTACAGCAGGATACTCTCCTGGAGGAGGCAGGCACAAGGCACAGATGGGTAGCTGGGGATAGCTAGGGGAACCCATCTCACTTGAGAACAGAAAGTAGCATATTTTAGGAGCTGCTATTGCTGATGGATTGGCAGTAACTAGGTAGAGTGAGGAAACAGGCAAGTTATTCATGAGCCGAGGGTCACATTCTTCACTACAAAGAAATAAGTTTTTACGTATTCAAATTACCTCTTATCTTTGTGGGATTTGGGTTTTGGTTTTGAGACAAAATCTTATCCTACAGCCCAGGCTGACTTGAAACTCAATGTATAGACCAAGCTGGCCTTGAGCATGGGATCCCCTGCCTCTGCCCCCAGGCCTGATAGTACAGGTGTACACCAGCACACTTAGCTGGATTCTAAACTTTTTGAGCAACGTATTTTTTAGAGTATGGTTCAGTTAAACCAAATCTTGCCTGTAGGACAGATGAACTGATTCAAGATTTACAGTCTCTTGAATAAAAATGTCAACTACTAGATGTCACTTTAGAAGTGTGTTCTGTGGTCTGAGACCGTATCAGGATGTTCTCGAGGCTTGCTTTTTATTGAGACTGCTGAAGAGTTCTCACGTTCTCTTCTAAGCAGCAGCGTTTTAGAAGCATGCTGATAGGATGAGGTTCGGCTTCTGACTCAGCTCTTGGTTTTCTTCCTGCTCTTTCAGGTATTCAAATCTGATTTTGAACTTGTTTTCCTTGATGGTTGATGCAAACATTCCAGATATTGCTCTTGAACCAGATAAAACTGTGAAAAAGGTAATTTTGACACCTTTTTGTACATATGGTAGTCCGTATTTCATACATTAAAAAAGTAAAGGTTTTAACAACACATGTCCTCTTTTTCACCATCCATAGACCGATAACGTAAATCTGGGTATTCACATTCAGAAGCAACTAGCTCTCAGGTCTCGTCAGCGTCCCCATTCTGTTCTGTTCTCTGTTCTTGTCTGTAATCACAGCATGGTCAGCCTGTCCTGGGAGACTGCTTTCTTGACCACAGCCAGTGCTCTTTTCTGCAGACAGGCAGCTCTTCCTGTACCCTTACCACTGAGGTACCTGATTCTTGGCTGTTCTGGGTGGAAACGCCATGGTGTGTTGTCATGTAGAAGAAATGACTCTTCTGTGCTCCCTACCCATCCTCCTGTTTCCAGTTTCACTTTGTCAATGTGTAGTTCAGCAGAGATAATGTGGGTGGGCAGGCACTTATCTTACCCAGAGTCCTAGCAAGAAGTGGGAGGAAGGGCAGTAGATTTGAAGAGTATATTTTATTTATTTATTATTTTTATTTTATGCCTATGAGTATATTGCCTGTGTGTATGTAAGTGCACCCATATTGTGCAGCACCCACGGAGGTCAGAAGTTCCCCTGTTAGCTACTGTGTGGATGCTGGGAACCAAACCCAGGTCCTCTGCAAGAGCAGTCAGTGCTCCTAACTGCTGAGCCATCTCTCCAGCTCTGTTTTGAAGATTTTCAGCTGGTTTAATTTCTGATTTTCTCATTCTGATGAGAGTAATGTGTAAAGTGCTGTTTATCCAGAGGTGAAAAGATAATGACATATCAACTTCCTTTGGAATATTCAACTTCAAAGAAAGATTGTGAAGCGTTTAAAGGCACAAAAGTGTAAAATTTCTGAGACCATTTGCCTCCATTTTTAGAGATGCAGTTGCTCTAGTGTTTGAAAGTCACGGCTGGCACCAAACCCTGATTTCTAAAGTAACCGACATTAGACATTAGATTCCTCTGTGATTTAACACAGATGAGACCAATCTTTTCCCAAAATTTTACACATTTATCAAGCAAGGAAATTTTGAATGTAAATATTGTATTATTTGGTCGTTTATGAAAAAACACGTTCTTGAAAGGCTCCTGTTTAATTTCAGGCAGATGGTGCCCTAACCCTCACACTTTCTCCTTGCTTCAGACCAGCACAATGCAGTGAAATTCCTCTTTTGTTTCCCAGGAAGGAGGCTGCTTAGCAGGCTAGCTTTTTCATGTCCTATTTTCTGTCTTTATGTTTTCCTGACTAACTCCCATCCATCATGAAATATAATTGGTCAATGAAAATTCCTGAGCTGTGATCGATGCACCAGATTTTAGGTGATGTGCTGTTTTGTTTGCATCTGCTGTGTTACGCATGTTTCACAGGTCATGTTAAACCATCCATCTCTTCTTGGGCTCACTCTTCCGACTACAGATGTTGGGAAGTCATTTGAGAAATTCTGGCAGTGTTTAGCAAACCTCGGTCAGGGGTTTCTTTGGCCGTTAAGCTGTCCTGTTCTTGTCCCCTTGCTGTTTTGGAGATCGTGGTGGTTCCTGTCGGCACCAGCTGTCTTCATAGCATTGTCTTAAAACATGAATCTACTCATTGTATGAAAAAAGCGAAAACAAGAGCATGTTCTGTAGACGTTCTGTAGACTGGTAATCTCACCCTTTATTAGAATTTCAGTTAAACAGACATTTGAGAAATAAACATTTTGCTATATTTTTCCTCAAAAATGTATTTCATAGCAGATTTCTTTGCTTTCTGATGTTTTATCAAAAACATGAAGTATCCAGTTACAGTACAGATTTGACCTCAATGTTGTAATAATACTGGAAATTTATATTGTAGCTGCCCAAGTTTATGCTTCATGCTGGTTGGTTTTTACAAGTAGATCTTTGTACTTTGATGAGATAACAGATGCCAACATTACATCATGATGTTACTGATTTGGATCCAGACCAGCAGGGGTCAAGGAAGAGTGAACAAGGCTTGTATGTTCACACAGTGCAGGTCAGATCATTTCCTGTTCCTGCCTTCTCTGTCAGTCCTTTGTATTTTTTTAAAACATGACATGCTTTAATGAGATTTATTTGCTAGAAAACATTGCTCAAAAGAATGTCATACAGAGGAAAAAATCAGGCACTTGATGAGAAAATTCAGAGGAGACATTTTATTTATTAGACATTTATTAGCCTATGGTACAGAAATAAGATTTAGTGCAGAAACGTACATCATTTGAGGTAAATGAATGTACTTCATAACAGCTTTGTAACTAGGGTTGGTGGATTGAAAAAGATGGCCTTGTCTCCAAGGAGTTTCAGAGCTTCCTCTGAAACTTTTTCAGTGTTTTCATTAGTGTGATTCTCTTTAGTGGGTAGGAGAGGGGAAGGCCCTAGAGCAGTTTAATGGATCCACTATCAATGTGGCCCCCTAGCAGCCAGTGCTTCTTCATTCCCGGTTCCCAACAGTTCAGTAATTTACAAGAACCCTCTACGCGGAACCCTCTACGCGTAATCACAGGTTTATTCAGAGTAATTTAAGAAACTACTGTTTTCTATTGTAGAATTAAATGGAGACATTTCGTTCTCCAAATTGATTTTGTGCTAAACTTTAAAACAAAGAAAGTATGTATATTACAAGAAGCTATAAATTAGCTGGCTGTATCAGATAACCTGCAAAATTAATTACCTTTGGTTCCCCTTGGATCAGTCGGTAGCCACAGGATGGTGTGTTCTGGTGCAGTTTGGGAAGCTGCAGCTTCTGTCTCCTCCACGGAGCCCCGTGTCGTCTTCTGACAATTTCAGCATCAATGCTCTTTGAGCAGTTGTTAGATGGGAATTAGGTTTTCATCTTTTTTTTTTTTTTGCTCTTAAATTCTGGTCTTACACAAAGAGATTTTTTTCTTTTTGCATTCTAATACACCTCAAATAATAAATGGACTCAGCAAGAAAACAATATCCAGATTAAAACTTTTCGGCCGACTGAATCCAGTGTTTCTTTATTGTTTTGTGATTTTATGAAGAAGTTGATCAGGCCCAGTCTGGCCTAGACTTAGTCTTCATTATGCAGCAGAGGCCATTTAGCACCTGCCTCTTCAGCCTCCCCTCCCCCAGCTGGAATACAGGTCATTCAGTTCCTTTTCTGAGTAAGAAGGAAGTTAATGGAGGAAAGTCTACATTTCATTTAAATAAAAGTGACTGCTGTTTGAGAGATCCTAAATACTTAATTATTTTAAACAAAGGTCTGTATAATAGTGTGTGTGAAGCCTCTCAAATGGTATTTGGCTTAAAGTCCTGCTTTTAGGTATAAGAATGTGCGTAGGGCTTTATTTGGGAAATTATGCCATATACCTAAGAATGTGGATACAAGATTTATGTCTCAATGCTAGTAAAGCGTATTCAGTGTGATACAGTAATTAGTGTTAAGGTATCTATGTGTGGCAAACTTGGTCTGTGTAATTATGGTATGGTACAGAAACTTCAGGCCAATCTATGATGTTTAATTTTTAAATTCATATTTAATAAATTATAAATAGAATACTAATTGTAATTGTTTCCAGGGGCACAGAAAATTACACCATTGTTCACAGATGGAGTATGTGTAGCCTGACGCAGGTGGGGCAGGGGTGTAAGGAGGTCCTGAAGTCTCCAGGTTCACGTTTGAAAGGCATGCATGTGCACAGTGCCTGTAGGTGACAGAGCAGGCAGCCAAGTGCATCATAAGAACAGTGTATGTGTAACCAGACCACGTAGTCGCACACTTTAAACCGCCTCCTGTGGTTGCCGTCCTCACTGAGACCGTCCTTTGGTGCTAGGGCTTTCCTGCTGCCTTTTGTCGCTCATGTGGCCCATCATTGTCTGGACCGTCCTGTACAGCACATAGCTGGACCTGCTGGACTTACTCTTTTAGATCATTTGAGCATCTGGTAAAAAGACTCCTCAAAATGTGATTAGCCACCGCTAGAATGTTTTTACTGGCTGTGTGACTCTTTCAGAGATGCTTTTTGTCCCTTGCAAATAGATGTTGGTTGAAATGGGTCTAGTGTGATGCTAGATGTAAGTGGGTCTTCAAGACACAAGTTAGAACAGCACTGACATGGTGGAGAAACACTAGCTCGATCTCTCCATATTCTGATACAACTTCCCTGAGCCCTATTAGTGTGTTCTGTTTACTGAGTGGCTATGTACCTTTGAAAGACACTTTGAAACAGCACTGGGTGGAGCTTTAAGTTTATAACCCTTGGCTTCAGGGCACTGTCCTAGTTTGTTTCTCCACTGCTGTGACAAAACACTCTGACCACTATCAACTTGGGAAGGAAAGGGTTTATTTATCTTACATCTCCCGGGTCACAGTTCATCAAAGAGCCCAAGGTAGGAACTCAGGGCAGGAACCTGGAAGCAGGAGCTGGAGCACAGGCCATGGAGGAACGCTGCTTACTGGCTTGCTCCCCTAGCCCCTGCTCAACCTGCTTTTTTATACAACACAGGCCCACCTGCCCAGGGGTGGCACCACCCACAGTGGGCTGGGCCCTCCCACATCACTCATCTAGAAGATGCCCCTCAGACATTACCACAGGCCAGTCCAATAGAGGCAATTCCCTGATTGAGGCTCCCTCAACCCAGGTGTGTCAAGTTGACACTAAAGCTATCCAGCACAGGCACCTTCAGAATCACTTGAGTAAATGTGGGCTTAAAACCAAGCCAAATGTTCAGCATAGCTTAGTGTCCAGTGTGATCTTGGCCAGTTTAACTGCCTAGGAGGACAAATCCTCACAAGAACACAGCAGAGTTTTCAGCACCTGTTACACACTATCCAGAATGTTTAATAATACAAAAAAGGTACTAGATGTTTTAAAAAACAGACAGATATCACACAGAGTCAATGAACAAAAAAGGAATGAGCAGGAACAGACTGCCATGAGCAGTGACTGGGTACATGGAATCTGAGCAGAGGAGCTGGGAAGGATAAAAGGGGAGGCCTAGAAATGGTGGTGTGGCAGCCATGTGGCTGCTGTGCAGGGTACAGCCGTGTTTGGTGTCAGTTTATAGAAGTTACGTGGTCTGAAAACAAGCAGAACCTTTGGAAGCAGGGGCCCCACAGATCAAGGAAAATGACAGTATCTGTGTGCACTTTAGCCTCTAAAGAAGGTGGTTCACATTTGGCAAAGAACCTTATAAGCCTATTACTAATTTTCTTTCAGTGATGTTGGCACTTAAACACAATCTTTGATGAGTTAGAATCAAGTTTTATTTTGATCCTTATGCTTTGTAATTTTTTTATGTCATTGAAAATAGTACCAAATTTTCAGATGTGCCACCTATGTTAGAAATCAAGAAGGGCAGAGAATTAAACTCAAGGGGAGTGGTTATTTTGTAGGGTCCAAATGTGAGAGAGCCCATTATTGGAGATATGCTCTTGAGTGGCTTAGCCAGACTGCCCTGGCTGTTTACATCTGCTTGCCTTTCACATCCGGGTCCTGAGCTGTGGCGTCACCACTGTGCCTCCAGTCTGCACCTTGTTGTGGCCTCGGGTCGCACGTCTGTCCAGCCCTTTCCATCTCAGCTCGCTGTCTGTAGTTATGCCTGTAATAACTCCCTGTCCGTCTTCCACAGCAGCCCTGACTGAACTCGGGCACCAAAACACAGAAGCCATGAAAATTGAAGAGGGGTTAGAGAGACTAGTGGGAGGAAGAGGGCCAGCAGGAGGCAGGAGGGGGTGGGGAGAAGTGATCACAGTAGCTTGTATACATGTGGAAGTCATCAGAAATAAAAGAAAATATTGACCACAGCGTCTCCATTGGAAATCATACTTTCTTCCTTAAGAAGTGTATGTGGACCATTAATAAAGAGGAGTAGCATTCTGGTATGTGCCAACATGAGGCTGTCAGGGTTGACTTTGGACATCCTTGGTTTCTGAAGATGGACTGTCCGTAGCAGGGCCTTCAGGGAGTAACACGAGCGGCTGTATGGACTGCTTGGGCAGGGTTTTGAACAAAATAATATTCCCCAACCCTGGCTTTGTGTTTTAAGGCAGATACAGATACATGTATGTGCTTAATATAGTCATTTTATAGTACTTTGTGCTATTGAAAATGAGCTCCAACTGAAAATATGACCTAAAATGGAAATCCTGACTTTGGAAATTACAGTCCCATTGAAATAACCCTTTGCCCAGATATGGGGAACTTCCCTGAAAAAGGAGGCATTTTCAGGAGATGTGTTTATTTTGCCAGCAGTTGCTATGGTGGGTGTGAGTAGGAAGATGGGGTGTGGGTGTCAATATGATCTCACCTTGCTGTGTCCATTTCAGTCACAGGGTAGTTCTAGAATGTGAAAATCGTTCAATTTTGAGCTGCAAGAAGGCTGTCTCAGTTCTTAAAAGCAATCAAGTTCTACAGTCACAGATGTGCCAGTCACAGCTCTTCACTGGCAGAACTTGTGGCATCTTAATGACACCTGTGTCAGTTTGATCCCGTCTTCAAATGTGTCCTTACTTTCTTAAAAAGACTTGTGTTGAGCCAAGTGTGGTGGCACACGTCTTCAATCCCAGCACCTGGGAAGCAGAGGCAGGCAAATCTCTGTGAGATCTACTTAGAGAGTTCCAGACCAACTGTGGCTGCAGGAAGACCCTGTCTCAAAAAAAAAAGACGAGAGATTTCTCAGTGGTTAAGAACACTGGCCGCTTTTGCAGAGGACCCAGGTTCAATTCCTAACATCGGCATGTGGCTAACAACCATCTGCAACTACAGTTCCAGGGGATCAGACGCCCTCTTCTGACACCCGCAGGCACTGCACAGCGCGGGTGCACATGCAGATAATAAATAATTTATTTTAAAAGACCAAAAGAAAAGAAAAGAAAAGAAAAGAAAAGACGACTTATGTTGTTTATGGCTCTCTCTAGGTTCAGGATAAGTTTCGTTTGGACCTGTCAGATGAGGAGGCTGTGCACTACATGCAGAGTCTAATTGATGAGAGTGTCCATGCACTGTTTGCTGCAGTGGTGGAGCAGATCCACAAATTTGCCCAGGTAAGTTCCTAGAGGGCCTGTGCTCATCTGGCCCTTGCCAGCTTCTGTGGGGTCCTCGGTGAGACTCTTTCTCCTGGCCAGCCGCTTCCCTCTTTTTGTCCAACTCTCCATTGTTGACACCCCATAGATGCCACTGTCCCGTGCAGTTGGGGTGATTGCCATGGCAGAGGTCTTAAGGTGCAACAGTTGCCTGCTTCTGGGTTTTGATAAGTGTTGCAGTATATGAACAGCAGTTTATAAAACCAGGGAAAGCAGTTCACCACCACCCCCCACCCCCACTGTAACAGTCCATCACCCAGTACGCATGGCAGCCGTATCTCTGTGCATATAAGGAAACTTCACACCAACTGTTTTATTTCTTTACTCCATAATGAAGATGGTTATGAACATGCCTGAGCTCTTCGTTGTGTACACTCAGCACATCATCATCCTTACTTCCCAAGCTCACCAACTGTGTTTTGTCCCTTTAGTCAGTGTGTCCTTTTCTTTGAAGAGGATTTTATTTACAGGGAACCACCTTCCTTACGTTCTTTCAGATGAAAATGCTCCAAGTTTCCCTCCTTGTCCCAGTGTGTGGGAAAAAGACAGCCACCTGCCTTTCTGCTGTTTCTGTGCAGTCTCACGGTGCTTAGGAAGGCAGGTGAGGCCCAGGAGAAGAGGGCAGAGGACAGCAGAGCCTCTGGCCTGAGCATCCATATTGCTGATCAGTGTCCCTCACTGAATTTGTTGACTGTACAAGTAGTATGGTTTCAAACCCAAATAGGAAGCTTTTTTCCAAGGCAGTGCTCTCCTGACCCAGTTGTGTCTTCTACTCTTAAGTGTCTTGGGCCACATTTGTCTGTTCTCAGGTAAAGTTTAAGGAAATGGCACATATGCAGCCTCACTGAGGGCGCCATTAAGGCTGAGTGTGAAAGCGTGCCACCCTCCCCGCAGACTGGGCTGATCGGGACAGCCACCCGTGTATGTGTCTAGTTCTCCGCATGAAGGCGGTGCTGAGGCTGGCTCAGAAAGACTGTAGAAACTGCGGGGACTGGGGGCAACCGCCTCACACCAAAGACTGCACTGCCCAGAAAAGAGGGGCTTCAGGCTGTGACGGTGGGCTTGCCTCTGCTGTCGATTAAATCTGTGTATCAGGAGATCTGTGTCCCTCTCATCTTGCTGGCCCTGTGCGTAGACCCGTCTCCCTGCTCACCCTCTGGGGGTTTTCCTTCTCTACTGTCATTCTTGTCTGTTCTGGTGTCCTCTGGTCAGTCACAGTGGGTTCGCAGAGCTAAGATTTCAACTGATGTCAGTGCTCCTGTGCTTCTCCTCACCTCAGGTATCTATAGCTGCACAGTCAGGCTCATCAGCCCTAAAAGCAGTAGTTTTATTATTTCTTACAGTGTTTCAGTAGGAATTCAGCTGAAGCCCAGCTGCTTGGTCCTTTTATTTCCTGTGATGCCAGCTGCATTCAGTCCCTGAACTGTGTCAGGAGGCAGCCATGTGTGGGAGGCCCAAGGCTGCAGTGCAGGCCTGGCAACTGCCTGCTCCTTCCCATGGGGCGTCTTCCTCCTTTTCTAACCTGGTAGCGCCCAGCCTGCTGCTGTCAGAGCACAGGAAAACAAGTGTGGCAGGGCTCTTGAATGTGTCCCACAAACCCAGCGATTCCCAGGGTGAAGCAGAGCTTATCTCGGAGTAGGAAAGGGTTTCCTGTGCAGAGCACAGGACGAGACTGTAGCTCTGTGGCCGGTACCAGCCTCTCCATGATGCTTCCACACTCTGATAAAGTGTGGCTTGCTTTATTTTCATGGCCTAATTTTGAAATTCGGTTATTAATCTGCCTTGGTTACAAACTCCTTTGAACGAGGATGGATTCTTCATGAGAAAGTAGTGTAGAAAGTCAAGGTCATAGGAATGATTCCAGTAGTGAGCGAGTCCCTGTCATCCTGAGCTGGCAAAGGAGGAGGTTTAATGTGGCCAGGATGTATAGAAGAGCTGTTGGAAGGTCCTGTCTCAGCTCCCCATTTTATGATGATGGCGACATGATCTGGAGCAGTCCCTCATTGTTTGCAGTGTACCTTCTCACTATAACCATGGAAGCATGTTGCAGCCATGTTCCATTCTATAGAAGACTTCCACGAGAAACCAAATTTCCTGTCATGGTGAAGTCTTTTAGCTGAGTCCTGTGTACTCAGGCTGTTTTCTTGGGGCTCCTTGAGTATAGCCATCCGTGTTCCATCACACACCTAAAACAGTGTCAGAATGAGAATAGCCTTGGGAACCAGGTAGGCAAGACTTGTACACGGGTCACTAAATTAGGGTTTTAGCTTCATACCCAAATTAGTAAAGTATAGAAACATATTCTTACCTGGTCTTTGGGCAAGTTTATTTTCTCTTTGAAATTTGTATCTTCATGTAGGCAGAAAGTCTTATCTTCAAGGTATCTTGGTGGTAGTGCTGGTGAATCAAATGAACATTCAGCCTAGTGGCCTGCATCCACTTCCTCCTTATTTGTGACCTTCATTACAATAATGCAGTGTTGGTGATTGACTCATAGCCATTTCAGTGCATTCTGATCAATCACTGTGGGTTGTAGGTCCAACTTTTTTAAAAAAATCTAGTAGACTCGTGTTAACAGAAGTTAACCTGTTTAGCGTAAAGGGAATGATGTTCTAAAGCAGAATAAAAACTGTCAGATAGAGCAATTATGTAAAGAGCTGAGAAACTTATTTTCTCCCATCATGCAATTCTTTAGAAAGGGAAAAGAGTAAATGGTGTAATTGTTGCTTAGCAACACCTATCAGTAGTATGACTTTTCCACTGACAAACACTTATATTTGGTTTTTGTTTGAAGTCACGTCATTGCAGCTCTCCTCCCCACAGAGCATTTGAAGAGTTTTCCAGTCTTGCTGCGCCCTGTCTTGGGACCAGCCTTCCTGGGTGTTCTGTTCTTTGTGTTTGTCTCTGCACTGGCTGACACATTTAGAGAACAGGATGCAGCTTCCTGTTGCATAATAAATCTCTGCAGACTAGAACTAGAGATTTTTTTTTTCCTCTCAGACTTAGGGAAAAGCATTAAAAACAAATGGAGTTCAGAACGTTTACTTGATTTCCAACTCGAAACTAGAAGCACATTAGCACGAGCCACATAGCAAGAATCTGTACTTGGCACCTATGGTGTTCAGGAGGGAAAGTGGCTACCTAGACAGAGGTGCTGTGATCGTAAGGTCATATACCCTTAGGTTAGGGACCACACGCCTGTATCCGGGAGAAGTTGGCACACAGAGGCACATGAACTAGAGTGTATGTGTGAAACAGTAAAGTGAAAGGGAGACAGTTCTGAATCTGCTCCTGTGCCCACCGTGGTGTGAGGACCACATGTGAAAGCATCTGTCTTGGCTTCATGTGTGTTCAGAACACCCTTGGCACAGAGGCCAGCCTGTGCTGCTAATAATTCCTCTGTCGTTTGAAAGTTGCTATATCATTACTCAGAAACGTTTATAATCTTTTTATTTAAGCATTTACAGTAGTGGCAAATGTGGTGATAGTAAGTTGTAGACCTGTTTCCAGAGCTTAAGTTCATCCACTGTACTTTACTTGATGAATTTTATGTGACATTTGGTCACTAAGGAAGCCAGCCCTGCAAAACTTTAAAGACTTTTTCTAGATATGTGATATCAATTTGGGTTTTAATTGTAAATGAACAGATAAGTAGAAAATAAAATATACCCTAACTTTTGAACACATATGTAATTGCCCTAAATAACAATTTTCATAAAACCCATTCTTGAATTTACCTTTTCCTCCTCACATATGAAGTGCCCCTTGCTCTCTCTGTAAATGTCGCCTGGGTAGATGTGGGGTGTGCATGCAGAGCAGGAGCCAGCGGGCGCAAAGCCCTGTAGCGACCGTCTCACGTTGGCTTGGTTTCGTTGTGTAACTGTTCAGCTTCATGTAGTTCCTCTGGTGACGCACTTTTGTCTCGTGTTCACTGTATGTTTTTGAAAATTCGCTGTGTATAAACTGCCAGTAAAAGCCAGTTCTGCTGCTGCTCACTCACACCTCCCGTAACCTCGGGAGCTGTGTCTCCCTGTGTGTTCTTAACTAGCCATGATCTCAGCCAAGACAGTGGTGTCATCCAGGATGCCTAGTCCACAGCCTTGGTGTCTGGTTCCTGCTGTTGTGACTCTCTGTATAATAACTGCTCTGTTTGAAACAACAGCTATCTAGATGCAAAGTGACTTCAAAGGAAAGAGTAGATGTTCTGAGTTTCCATCCCATGGACCTCATTTTTACCACAAGAATGTAGAATGACAGTGTAAAATAGAGCAAAACAAAATATTGAATTCTGTGGCCAAATCCAAATCTTCACTTAAGCCTGTTTGTTTTAATTCAATACTTTTCTGAAGAGCCAGATGATTTCCCCATGCAGTAGCTTAAGTACTAAGGTGTCAGCCTGTGCCACACCCAACGACTACACCACGTCGGCCTGTCTCTCCTCGTGCATTTGGTTTATCTGGGGACAAATAATGGTGACAGCAAACAGAACTGAGACACAGTGGCAGCAGCAATAGCGGCCACCCTTGAGTTCAGAGTGTGCCACGAGTGACGGGAGCTCATCTCTGCAATGCCTACCTCACTGTCTTCCTATGACACATTCCCCACCTGGAAAATTGAGGCCAGTAGGTGACAAGGCCCAGGTTCATACCCAAGCCTGAGCCTGTGGCCCGTTACTAAAGGTTTTTCATAGTTATATACCCAAGCTTTACTTTTTAGACATGAATGAAGTTTGTTATCAGTATTTAATTTACCTATAAATAAAATCTTCATCTTTAGTCTTCTTCTGGCCATTTAAAAAAAAAAAAAAAAAACATGTAAAGAAGTTACCAGGACTAGCTAATATGGTCATATAAAATGGAACAACACAGCACTGGCTGGCTAGAGCGAGTCCTCCACTGTGCTGTGGACTGCAGCCAGCCCTGGAGCTGGGCTCCCGGGCACTTTCGAAGTGGCCAAGGCTTTGAGGCTTTCCTTCCAGCCGCCCAGTCATGTGCTGGCAGCAGCCCCAAGCTTCCTGACAGGCGCAGGCTAAGAGGCCCTCAGATTCTTTTTCCTTCGTACAGATTGATTTCCCTCATGTAAGGAAGTTTCTGAACACTCGTGTGATCCTGGGGAGGGTTGTTCCTGTTTACTTCCTTCCCTGCTTTGAGTAAAGCCCGTTTCCACTCTGCTGTTTCTTGCTCAGAGTGTATCACATTAAACCCTCTCATAAATAGTTCTTCATGTGACTGTTGGGAGCTCAGTGAAGTGTTTCAGAAAACATTTGAGACATCTGTTTAGTAGCAGGATTTTTCTCACACATACAAAAACATACATAAACACACATGCTGATTTCACTTTCCAAGTGCTTCTTGTTCAGACTGTTAGGGTATCAGTATGGGTCCTTTATAATTTGGTTTTTACTAGCATAGTCCAACTTCATCATCTGACAGCTTTTTCAAAGAACCTCGTAGGTTTTGTGATTGTTCCAAGCGCCCATCCAGGGCCTGAATCATCTGTGGTATTGCCCACAGAACGTGAACCTATTCCTACCATGTAGTAGCTTCCTAATAAATGCATAAATGTATGTGGTTTTGTATATGTCTAGGCCATTCCTTTAGGAAGTTTTTTTTTTTCTAATAGTGCCTTAAATTTAAAATGTTTAAATTTCTTCTGAAATTGTGAACTGTCAATTTCTTTTATTACTATTTTCTTTTTATTACTGTTACTATTTATTACATAAATACATATTTTGCCATATTCTTTCTTGAATTGCCACTTTAAACATGTCAAATTAAAATCAGTCAGAATCTTTGCATGTCTCAGTTTTACATGCAATAGGCATTCGCACACTCACACTTACCCACACCGTTCCTTCCTCTCACATCCCTTGGGTGCAGTTTATTCACTAAGGCACATGGGGCGTGGATGGCCTGAGTTGATCTGCTTGAAATGAATGTGTCTGTCTAGCCTCAGACAGCTGTGTGCCGGGCTTCTTTCTCTCAGGACGGCTTTCGGTTCGATTTTTTAAACCAATTTGGAGTGAAGCACTTGCATTCTGGAGGAAGCTGCAATTTCTCAGGTCTCTCTAAAAGTGTGTTCCTAAGAGCTCAGCGTGCTCGCTACTCACAGTATAATTCAGAATGTTGGTGTGATTCAAATGTAATTCAATGTAATTCAAATGTTGGTGGCTTTTTTTTCCTCCCACATAAGAATTGTGTCATCTCGAGCTTACAGTGAGCAAACACTTCCTTTCCCAAATACTTTGCTCTTGTGAATTGACTTTTAAGTCAAGCTGTGGGCCCTGTGCTCGGTTCAGCCCTGACCCTCTTTGAGGGTATTTAGCAAAAGTAGTTAGTTACTTTTTATTTTAAAGTATAGACAGTCACTTTTCTCATTAACAGTAAGATAAATTATTTTAATTATTTTTTTCTTGTTTTCATTGCTTATAGTACTGGAGAAAATGAAAGCGGCCCATCATCATGCCTGCCTGGCTCTGTGACAGAAGGCAGGCATGCCACTACTGTACACTGAAGACGCCAGAGAAGCTCCCAAGGCAGAGAGAGTGCAGACTGCAGCACGCCCAAATTCTCTCTCCTCATACAGAAGTTGCATTTTGCCTGGATTCTGTCTCTGTGAATGCCGCTGCTTAAATTGGGGCTTAAAGTATTTGTTTAAAAACACGGTCTATAGAGGAGGAGTGAGTGATAGCTCATACCTGTAATCACAGCAGCACTCAGGATGCTGAGGCAGGAGGATTGCCACCTGTTCTAGACCAATCTGGGCAGCATAGTTCATTCCAGGCCTGCCAAAAACAACTGTATATATTTGCTTTATAATGTATAAAGATGTGAAGAGGATTATATATGTATTATAAGGATTCTAGAGAACTTTTATCCTGAAATGATAAAAGTGACGTGTCCTTTTCTCTTTCCATCAGGACAGCACCTGTGCATATGCCGTTTCTCATTTTTGAAGAAAGTTTTTCTCCCTCTCTTCCTCTTTCCTTCTTTTCTCTTCCTCCCTGTCCCCATTTTTGTTCATCTGTTTTTACCTAATCAGCATAATGTTTTGCCTTAAAATTTTCTCAAAGTTCTATACATTATAGCTCATTCTTTTGCAGTTGAGATGTTTTTAGAAAGCTTGTGTAGGTGAAATCAAGAAACCAAGCTGGCAGCGTCGGGCACTGACCCTCTGCCCTACCGTGCCTGCCACATCATAGGCAGCACTGAGCAGCTTTGCAGGAGGTGGTTGAGGTATGCACCAGGACTCACCAGGAGCAGTTAGAGATCAGTTGTTTCCACCTACAGACAAGTGCAGGGACGGAGGGGGTTAAGGGAGGGGGTGAAGAAAAATAGCACTTCAAGAAAGGGTTTGTTCTAGTGAGGTGTAGCTCTGTTTCCTAAACTACAGTTCGTAACTCTTCAGAGTTGTAAATATGTGAAGTAGAAGATGAAAATGTAGCTCTTTGGCCGTGGGGGCCAGCACTGGGAAGGAAGAAGCAGGCAGATCTCTGTGAGATCAAGGCCAACCTGGTCTACATAGGGAGTTCTAGGCTACAGGGAGACCCAGTCTCAAAAAGACAGTAAGTTAAATAAATAAGTAAATAAATAAATAAATAAGTAAATAAATAAATAAATAAATAAATAAATAAATAAATAAATAAATGCTATGCTATGATTGAAGACATTATTGAGCGTACGATAGCTTTACATTCATGTGAGACGATATAAATTGTTTCTGCAATCTTTTTTTTTTTTACTTTTATTTCTGTGCTGTGGAAATGGAGGGTACATGTCACAGTGCTTGTGTGGAAGTTAGAGAACAGCTTTGGGAGGCAGTTTTCTCCTTCCACTATGTGGATTCCAGAGATCAAACCAGGTCATCAGGCTTGCTAACATGAACAAAAACTCCTAGAAAAACTACATCTTAAAACTTAGCATTCTACAGGGGTTGATCAACTAATTAGAGAATTTCAGTGATTATGGAGGGGTTGAAATGTTGCAGGTCCAGAGCCTAGTTATTTTTCTTGGGCCATCTTTTGTACCTAAGTAGTCCATGCCCACCTTTGTTTCTGACTTTACATCCTGTGACAGATAAAAACCTTTTGGAATGTATCGACTTAGACTATCAGCTCCCACCAACCAAAATCCTGAGTGCCATCCGATGCACCTGCGGCCTACAGCTGGGGTTTCTGTTGTGCTGTGTCTGCCGACCTCGTGTTTTCACCAATGTATGTGAGAATGTCTTGATTGATGACTTCTTTGTTCTGTTACTATAAAAACTTCATGAAACTGTTACCATGTTGGAACATGGAATTTGGGGTAACCTGAATCTGTGTTCCCAGGCCATGATTGCTCATATTTGGCTCCAGAATAAACTATCTCTTATCCCCTTTGAGGTAAGAGTTGTGCTTTTTTACCGACAATAGTAGTAAACACCTTCACCCACTGAGCCGTCTCACCAGCGCAGTAAGCTATTTTCTTATGTAAAGTGAGATTTGAAACCTCAGGCAAATGTACTGTGTAAGCAACCTCTGCAACCCAAGCAAAATAATATTTTGCTATTTAAGAGTATATTTCCCACCAATCTGTCCAGCTGCATGGTCCTTTAGAACAGAGGCACATACACAAAAATAGACCAGTTCATTAAGTCTGCACATGCGTATGTTGCAGTCATGTTATGCTCGATAGCTTTAGTGTCGACTTGACACACCTGGGTTGAGGGAGCCTCAATTGGGGAATTTCCTCTGCAGGACTGGCCTGTGGCCATGTCTGTGGGGCATCTTTTTGATTGATGAGTGATGTGGGACGGCCCAGCCCACTGTGGGTGGTGCCACCCTGGGCAGGTGGGCCTGTGTTGCATAAGAAAGCAGGCTGAGCAGGGGCCAGGGGAACAAGCCAGTAAACAGCGTTCCTCCATGGCCTGTGCTCCAGCTTCTGCCTCCAGGTTCCTGCCCTGAGTTCCTACCTTGGGCTCCCTGATGAACTGTGACCTGGGAGATGTAAGCTGAATAAACCCTTTCCTCCCCAAGTTGGTAGTGGTCAGAGTATTTTGTCACAGCAATGAAGAACAAACTAGGACACGTGATCCTGTCTCAGAAGGAGAATGAGTATTTCATCTTTTGGGGATGAATAAATACTAAATGTCAAATATTATCCTAGGATTCTTTACTGTTATGATCTCTGTCATCACAATTTGCATAAAACATTCACACATATTAGAAAGTGGTAGAAAGGACTTTGTGAATGAGTCATCATGAAATGCCCTGTCTGGACTAGTCGCATGCTGCACGCCTTCTTATGCTATTAGTGCTGTTCCCATCACCCTCCTCTCCACTTCTGAACCTGAGGTGTCCACAGCTTTGTAACTAGCATGTAGTTAAGTTGGGTATATTCTTCATTCTTGCCTCCCCTGTGTCGAGGACTGTCAGGCTTCCCCGTAAAGGGCCAACAGACATGGTAGATGTGTTAAAAATCTATGTGATGGTAAACTCAAAGATGAGATAGAAAGATAGGTTTGGGGGAGGTAAGCAGGAGTCCTGTCCCTGCCCCCTGTGCCCAGGATGGAAGTCTTTGTTTTCCAACACTTTCACATTCCCATAACCATATGTTATCTTACCTAATCACCATGGATATGCTGTGTACCTTTTGCTTACATTCCTCACATATGAGTATAAAAACCCTCCACCACTTGAACAAGGGGTCTGACTCTTATTCATAGGTCAGTCCTGCTAGTGTCAAACTTCCTCTCCTCACCTGACTTTGGCTGTTAGTCTCTGATTTTTCTGTGACATTTCTGGAGGTCCCCAGCGAAAACAAGTTGCCATACCCTCGTTGATAATACAGGCTGCCGCTTGCTCCTGGACCCTGCAGCCCCCTCGGCCCCTGGAACAGAGAAGTGCGCACCCCTGAAGAATTTCCTCTCTGGGTTCTCCTTCCGGGAGGCCAGAGAGAGCTGCATAGCCCCAGACCGGAGCCTCTCACGAGGTGAAGTGAGGCAGAGACCGAGAATGGATGTTCAGACCAGGTAATGGGCCCCAGATTAGACAGGTGGAAGCTGGAGCAGACTGATCCCCCTCAGGAGGCTGCATACAAAGTCTTGACGTGATTCCAAGATGGCACTGGCCTCCAGTCAGGAAGGAAAGGGAACCACAACTAAGCCTCAAGGTGATTTTGAGATGCTGGTCCCATTTAAGTTAAAACAATCAGGGCACAGCTGTCTATGTTCTGGCCCTGTTTAGGTAGAAGGAATTTAGTGGGAAGAACCAGGGAACAACTGTCTTAAACTCTGAGTGCTTGTGTGTGAATGTGAGAGATGGTTGGTTCCACGGCTCTGCGAGGCCACGGGATCTGACAGGGCCTCACCTGCGGTTCCGCTGAGGTCATGTAACCTAAATGGGCCACTCACCTTTGAGTGACCAATTGCAGGGATTATATGTGTGGCCCTAAGGTAAGACCTCTTAAATCACTGAGAGATAGCCAGCCAGGAAGTCATCTAAATGAGGGAGAGACTAGCACTCTCCACCCTCCTGTGCACGCATTACATACACATCCCAAGCACCTATAAAACTTCAGATGGGTTCCTCCCAGTCTAAGTGTCAGACCCAGACTGTCCACCAGGTGATGCTGGACAACTTTAAACTAGGCTATGCAGAAGATTATAGCGTTAAGATAAAACCCTCCAAATTAAAAGCTTTCTGTGAAGTCCAATGACTTGAAATCAAGACATGCTGGGTAAGAATCTCTGAGTTCAATCTATTAGAGGAGTTGGAGGGGAGGGAGTGGGCATGGATTTGATCAAAACACTTTATATGCATGTATGAAATTCTGAATAAATTTTTAAAGTTAAAAAAAAAAGAATGCCTGAGTTCAGATGGAGGCTACTTGAATCCTAAAACCCAGCCTCATACTTATCAGAAGAGGAAGGAGAACTGCCCATAGCGATGAGGAGATTATGGAGGAAGTGTTCACCCGATCCAGATTTAAAAATGAGTGCCTACATGCAATGGACCATCCTAAGCAAATTCCTTGAATTTTGTTTTGGGGGCACCTAGTTTTCATGGAATTATGTCATGTGTGTCTATGATCCTCATTTTCCATGTTTTTTTGAGATTTCATGTAATTATGTTATGTATATCTAAGTTTTCTCATGTGTTGAGATCTCAATTCTGTCATGTGTGTCTGTGATCATTGTCTTCATACATTGTTTCCATCAAAACAAACTGGCCACTTCAGTTATTCTGTTCAGTCATTTATTGTGCTCAAAATTATTGGTTTTATTTTTCTCACATTTTGGCATGCCTAATTAAAATACACGTGCAGATTTATAAATACGAATATTTTAATTGTACATTCAAAGGCCTTATAAATTTGGGTACCCTAACATCTTTATTAGGCAATGTCTCTAGGTCTATTAAATGTTTCACAAAACTTTTAAGTGCTACTTGTTTATATAAAACACTATCTGAGCTGGTTGTTTAAGGATCTTATTACATAGCTTTTGGTTTGGGTTTGCTTTCATAGTGTTTGTTTTAAGGATCTCTTTGGTTGCTCACTTTGGAAGTATTTTGGTTTTGACATTCAGTCTGGTTTGTATTGCTTTCCAACCTCTAAAGGCTTGAAAATGGTTTAAGAAAATTGAACTCAAGTTGGTTATAGGTTTGATTTAATATGTTAACTCATCTTTAGAGCTGGAGATGAACTCTGGGACTGGTCTTCCTGTCTCATCCTTTGGCCTTGTCCTTTGGCCCTGTTTCCTGCAATGGGGCTATGCAGGCAGATGTGGCCTATTTGGAGGAGGGGCACTTTTCGTCCTGGGAAACTCTGCTGGCTTAGATACAGCTGTGTGCTTTTCTCTCTTGGCGCAACCCTTGCCTTTAACTCTCATGCTTAATTCTGCATTGAACTGCCTTTATATTAGCTATTCTAAAACTCCCAACAGCTATTGAAACCAGGACCCTTAATCTGGCTTGAATGGAGGTCTGGAAGAGCTTCCCAAGGCTCCTGGAGATGGCCAGGTGGTAGCGGTGCTTTTGTGTCTCTGGCTAGAGGACACTGGGTTAGACATAGTAGCACACGGCTTCTTCTGGGGTACCTTGTGAGAACCAATCCCCAGATGGCCTGAGCCAGTCTCTTGCCTCCAGGAGAACAGTCTGAGACAAAATGAGACAACTACAATGTGTTCAGAATAACTACTTTTAACATTATTATGCTTATCTTGTAAAAATTATCATGTACTTTTATGCATATGCTAAACAACCTCTAGACATCTCTAAGAATTAACTCAAAACTGTTCTCTACAGTGTGTCTTCTTAGACACTGGCAGTGATAAGATTTTGGGTTTGTTTCTTTCATAGTCTTCTCCACCCCCTCTCCACACGCACACACCTTTTTTTCTCATAGGAAGCCCTGAGCCTGAGCTGTTGCTGTCCCAGACCGCCAGCCCTGCAGACTCGGCATGCCGGCTCCTCTGACCCTGTGTGCTGTGCTCTTGTGCTCTCTCACCTCTCACTCTTTCTAAGTTCCCGCACGCTACTATGGGAAAGGGTTAACTGTAGACAGCTGT